ATAGCAGAGGGCATGGTACTAGGAAGGAGGGGCAGGGGCCGACTGACACGAAGATGGGCACAAGATATAAGTGACTCCTTGAGTATGAAAGTGCATGAGGCGGGAGAACTGGGGAGAGACGGAGTTTCTTTCAGGCAGACTGTGATGACAGCGACATTCTGCAAAGGACCTGCTACATGATGATGATGACTATTCCAACTGTGGAGCTGTCGTAAAGGAGAGAGCTGATAAACTAACTACAGAAGGTGCAAATGAGCAAAATCTGACATGCCAGTATTTTATTAACAGAAGAAGAGAACAATCAAATCAACCATAATGTTACAAAATCTGGCATAAGATGATTAACATGTTATGTACAGACTAAAGCAAGTCATTATTCTACGCCTTAGAATATGGCACAATCGAATTCGCAGCTACATGTACACACAATTTAAAATTGATGAATCAGTCATGTGCACATGTGGACTGGCACCTGAGACAACAGATCATGTCCTCCAAGACTTTCCCAAACACAACATATCAAAGCGATACTTTTGACCAAAAGAAAGACCGGTGCAAGCCAAACTTTACGAGTCGCTGAGTGAATTACAAAAGACAGTGATATTCTATAAGAAACAACATTGTAGATTTAAATAATATATTTCAAGGGAACAAAAGCAGCAGCAGCAGAAGAAGACATGAGGATAATTGACAGATATAATTAACTGATTACTTTAAATACACAATGTTAATAAGATTATTTAAATATTCACTGTACAAAATGTTTTCGTAGTTCAGCCCAAAAGGTGTGGGCAGGATAATTTCTCAATTTTTTAAGATGCAAACTGCATAAATGTCTTACATAAATTAGTTATACAATAGATAAAATAGAAACAAATATACTCTGGAAACTTGATGAACACTTTATACATCTGCTGGCAATCGTCATCAAGAAGAGGCACCACTGACATTCTATACGAGTTAGTCATCAAGGAGAACTGGCTCATAAACAGCGTCTTGTCCCACAAGTTGAAGTGTGTTGGTCACACCTAACGTCATGTTGGTCACACCTAACGTCATGTTGGTCACACCTAACGTCATGTTGGTCACACCTAACGTCATGTTGGTCACACCTAACGTCATGTTGGTCACACCTAACGTCATGTTGGTCACACCTAACGTCATGTTGGTCACACCTAACGTCATGTTGGTCACACCTAACGTCATGTTGGTCACACCTAACGTCATGTTGGCTTGGAACAAACGGTGATGGACGGTGCAGTTTGTGGAAAGCGAGGTAGGGGTCGACGTCCGCGAAGATGGATACACGACATTTAAGATGCAGTGACATTAAAAGCACATGGGGCTGGAGAGCTGGCTCGGGAAAGAGATACTTTCAGGCGTGCCGTGACGAGAGCGACGTTCTGTACAGGACTTGCTGATTGATGATGGGTTAACTATCGGTCCCAGGGGACCATGGAGGTGTGCTGTTGGTTTTGGGAACAGTTCGGTTCTTGACCAACAAAAGCCAAGGCCCCCCCCCCCCCATTGTTTTGGGAACAGCGTCTGCTGTGATTCAAAGTCCAATGCGGGAGTCGCAATCCCACACAAACACGGGGATATACAAACCTGGGCATGATGAACCGGAGTACAGGCTGATGCCAAGGCAGCAGTTACCCCCTCTCTACGTTACCGGTAATATACTAAGGTGCAGGTACCAATACCGTTTGGCACCGGAGACGTTGCTGGAATTGCCCGAGGAGAGGTGTCAACACTGCCGAACCGCTTTGGCGATCCCAGCTCCGGATTTTTCCTCATGATTTACTCCAGGAGCGTTTCCCTAAATCGGGTTTTGTCAGAAGGCAGTGGAGGTTTGAAATCAGAGAATTTTCTTCTTCTAGATGAGCTGCACTTCCGAGCCTCGTCTGCCTCAGGTTTAAAATCAGAGTATTTTCTTCTTCTAGATGAGCTGCACTTCCGAACTGGCGAACCTCGTGTGCCTAAGGTTTGAAATCAAGAGTATTTTCTTCTCCTGAACACTTTGCATCCCATTTACACCCCTAACAGTCGAATAAGATATTTTTGTGAGAATAAAGTGTAGCTGGTTTGTAGTAGAACAAAATGCGGTTCTTTATTAATATCCTACTCCCAGATGATGTCACAGGACATTCCAACATTTTCGAGGGTGGTAAGACTGGGTTTTCCGGCTTCTGATGCTTTTAACGACCCCAAAACATCTAGAACTGGCCCTAACCCCAACCCACCTTCATCCAACGAGAGAGTGCAGCCTAGGTTCCACAACTGAGAGAGTGCAGCCTAGGTTCCACAACTGCATGCAATATATCTACTACCACCTGAAATATTAGAATGTCCCGTGACCTGTGATTTTTTCCTGTTTATGGTTGGATATTACGGGGTGGGGGCGGTTTGTGCTGTTTTGTGTGTGTGTGTGTGTGTGAACCTATGTGCAATCGGCAGCATAAATTGCCAATTGGGGTACCTTTTTTTTCCGCCCTGTAAACATACTTTCATCAATTTCAACAGTGGTGTTCTCTCCGCCGATCACTGCAGAATTAAATAATGTTTCGGCACAAACCTCCCGTAAGTAGTTGCTCCATTTCACAGTCGTATTCTTCGACATAGCCAGCTCTACTTGGCAAAATTCAATGCTTGTCAACTGGTGAGACCAATAGTACAGGAAAGGAATGATCTGTCTCTAAAGCAAGTGCGACCTAAGACCAGCTCCAGATGACGGGCCATGCTGCTGAGTTCATCAAACCGGGTTAACGATACGTAACGTATGTCAGGAGTGCTGCGGCTATAATCTAGAATTTTTTCCACATCTGCTTGACATTAAATTTGCACTGTGTTTGTCTTCTTTGCTTAAGTATTCAAACCACTGGCCCGACCAAACAAATTTGAGAAACGCTGCGTTAGCGTATCCTTAGCTTGGTTTGGTGACGTCAGCAGCATGACCCGTCAGCTGCAATCGGTCTTGTGCGACCCTTCCAGGGATGTTCTTTGCCTAAAAGGTATGTTCAGACGACAGGTCAACTTTCCACGTCGCTATCGGTCATGTCTTTCGGTCAGCGATAACAACATCGCATGATTGTTGCCACAACGTCTGGTACTATGCTGAATGCCACCATGTTGCAGGCACTGATGCTGCTAATTAAAGGAAATTCATGGCGATGAAGAGTAAACACAGGCCGCTGAAGAGATGCCGCTGGAAGAAGAAAGGAACGACAATCTTGGCAACGCCTTGGAAGACACACAGAAAGCCGGGGGGAAAATGCTGCCTGGAAACCCGGCTTACCACCCTCGAAAATAGTGGACTGTCCTGTGACGTCATAAGTGGTCGGCTATTGAGAAAGAACCATTGGTCTTCATTTCTTTATGGTTTTTTTTTTTTTTTTTTTTTTATGCACAGGGTCCATCTTTGGTGGATTTGGAGAAGGACATTCACGTGGATATGGTTAGGGGCATGTACACGGATATGCATAATGACCATGATATTAATAAAGATATGCATACATATATGGACAGGGGTATGAACAAGCAAATGGACAATGATACACACAAGCATATGCACAACGATAAGCACAAGCATATGGACAATGATATGCACAAGCATATGGACAAAGACATGTATATTGGTAAGAACATGGACAAGGATGTACACAAGGGCATGGATAAGGATATGCACAAGAACATGGATATACACAAGGATGTGGATTTGCCAAAGGACATAGACAAGGATATGCACAAAGCCATTGATATGCACAAGGACATAGACAAACACAATGACATGGACAAGGATATGCACAAAAACAGGGATATACACAAGGACATGGACATACACAAGGACAGGGACAAGGACTTACACAAGGATATGGACAAGGACATGGACAAGGATATACACAAGGACATACAGAAAGACATGGACAAGGATATACACAAGAACATGGACAAGGATATACTCAAGGACATACACAAGGATATACACTAGGACATGGGCAAGAATATACACAAGGATATACAAAAGGACATGGACAAGGATATACACAAGGACGTGGACTAGGATATACACAAGGACATGGACAAAGATATACACAAGGACATACACAAGGACAAGGATGTACACAAGGATATACACAAGGACATGGACAAGGATATACACAAGGACATGGACAAGGATATACACAATGACATGGACAAGGATATGGACAAGGATACACACACGGATATACACAAGGACATGAACAAGGACATGGACAAGGATATACACAAGGACATGGACAAGTATATACACAAGGATATACACTAGGACATAGACAAGGATATAAACTAGGACATACACAAGTACATGGATAACCACAAGGACATGGACAAGGGTATACACAAGGACATGGACAGGATATACAATGCTATCAGAGATATCTGCAACAACAAGTTCAGAACCTTCATTATGAGTTCAACATTAGATTCCGCCACCGTTGTTCTCTCTGATGTAAAGTTTTCACAAATCACGAAACTCACTGTATCATCGCAGAAAATATTGGGTTCAACTGAATGAACACGAAGCCAGATTTACTCTCCAAAATGATATTACAAGGCTCAACGCAAAGGGAGAAGAGAAGAGGAAGAACATGAAAGACCTTGATAAAGAATTTGCCTGATTGGACAGTCCTCAGACATTCAAACAGAAATCTAGTGCATCGAATCCACGGAGTTGGTTGCAAGGAACTGATCAGTCAACAGCAACTGCTGACCCAGAGCATGTGCTATTATGGGATTATGACCAATGGTTTCTGCCACAATTCACTACATCATTTATCCTTTTCGTCAATCAAATTAAAAAAAAAAAAAAATAAGAAAAAAAAAAAAACACTGAAATTAAACTCAGGTGCAACTTTTTTTTTTTGTGTGTGGTTGCTGTACTGCTCTCGTTTTGTTTTGTTTTTGGGTGGGTGGGGTGGGACGGAAAAGGGGAGGGGTGTTGGGGGTCTAGTTTTGACCAACTAATCCACAACCATGTAGTCCTCTATGGCGTTCACCTGCTTCTCTGTGCTCTGTGACTCTTCCGAAATGGACTCCACTTTGGCAATATTTCTTTCCCCCTTGTCCACCACAACTGATATGGTAAATTTTGGGTCATGAACTGGCCTGCCACTAACTACTACTTTTTCTGCTAACTTGCTTCTGCTGTTTTGAGGAGCTTCAATGGCAATGCATGGCTTTTCGTAATCTGGACCGCTCTGTGTCTTGTGATCTGCACACTCTTTGGGTATAATTTGAGAATCCTGGTGCTTCATTCGGTCAGGATTTGGTCGGGACATCTTTGTATTTTGCAGCCACATGCGATCAGCATACTGTCTGGTCATCCTTGGAGATTTTTGCCGTGGTTCAACAGTAGTTGGCGAGAGTGTTTTTAAATTCTGTTGCAGTTCCTTGTCAGTTTGCAGCTTGGAAAAAATATGTTGCAATTCTTGATCAGCATGTTGTTTCAGTATCTCTGGAGTCAACTGTTGAAATTCAGGACGGACTTGGTGTTTTGATAGCCTTGGGGATAACTTTTCATGATTTCCTGGTGGTTTGGCCACTTCAGGAGTCCGCTGTTGTAATTCCCAGTCAGCCTGCTTTGATATTCTAGGAGATGTTAGGAGCTGGTGAAGATCAGCAATGTGATCCGAGATCTTCTGACTGTGAGCTTTCTCAGTGTGTTGTTTCGCTATTGGTGGAGCCTGCGCCTGTTGATCTTGCTGCTGAATGAACATCCCTGGGGTCGCTTCCTGGTCTTTGTCAGTATTTTTATTTGATATTTTCGGAGCCTTTTGCCGCAGTTCTTGTCTGGACAATGCTGGAAGATGTTTCTGACGTTGATTTGATATCTTTGAAGTCTTTTGCTGCAATTCTTGACCAGAATATTGTCTTGATAAATCTGGACATGTCTGCACCTCCTGACTGATTTGCTGATTTGATATCTTTGGTGTTTTCCCCCGCAACTCATTACCAGAATATTCTTCTCTTACTGTTGGAGTAAGGTCATCGTCTGTGGGGTGATATCTCCCTTTATCCTTTTGCAGCTGTACATCAGCAGGTAATGGAGAGGTTTCCTTGAGGTCTCCACACCTGTTTAGTGAGGCCGCCACCTTGAAAGTCAAGTCTTTAATTCTTAATGCTGACTTGTCATTGCTGTTCCTTGGAGTTATCTGGCAAGGAAATATTAAAATATCTATAGTTCATAAAGTGGCATCAATTATGAAAAGAACCCTTGGTTCTTTATTAATATCCTATCCCCAGATGACGTCACAAGACAGTCCAACACTTTATAGGGTGGTAAGACTGAGTTTAAAGGCATTCTGATGCTTTTAACGACCCCAAAACATCTAGAACTAGCCCTACCCCAACCCACCTACGTCCTACGAGGGAGTGCAGCCTAGGTCCCACGACTGCATGCAGCCTAGGTCCCACGACTGCATGCAGCCTTTCAGCCACCCCGTAAAATATTAGACTGTCCTGTATTCTGTGGATTTCCACTTTTCGGTGTAGGATATTAATAAAGCACCCAACCTTTTTATGCCAGTGTTACATCGGGCATTTGATACTAGGCAACAAGTCACCAACCTACGGAAAGGTGGGGGCGGGGGGGGGGGCGGGAGGGAGCAAGATAGTTTTCAGGAGAAAGGGGGCGGGAGCGGTGTGTGACGTCAAGTAATTTTGAAAGTGAGTGCATCAGTATTTGTAACAAACAGGATTTTCAGTTAACAGTCATAAAAACATAACATCATTGCCAGCTTGATGTGGAGAATGATCTCTGTTGTGCCTTGTCCACACACACACACACACACACACACACAAAAGACCAACAAAAAAGCAGATATCATCAAGGCAGAACAGTTTCAACCCTCACAGTGATATTTGGACACTTAATTACCAGTTGTCAGTAGTGCTGGTTTTTTAAACTCTGAATTATGTGTGTTCCTTTTCACGTTCTTGTTAACAATGTTTAGGATTATTTTTTTTTTTGCCCTTCTTTTTTCAATTTTTATTTTGTATTTTGAAAGGGGTGTGGGGGAGGGGGGTGTCTTACCATATACTCAGGGGTGGGAGGAGGAGGGAGGAGGGGGGAGGGCGCCTGAGACAGATTGGAGACCACTGTGCTAGCCTCATATTTTACCTGCCAGTCTGTGCCCTCTGTGGTTGATATGGCTAGTGTGATTGATGTGGTTGATATGGCTAGTGTGATTGATGTGGTTGATATGGCTAGTGTGATTGATGTGGTTGATATGGCTAGTGTGATTGATGTGGTTGATATGGCTAGTGTGATTGATGTGGTTGATATGGCTAGTGTGATTGATGTGGTTGATATGGCTAGTGTGATTGATGTGGGTTGATATAGCTAGTGTGATTGATGTGGTTGATATGGCTAGTGTGTTGATGTGGTTGATATGGCTAGTGTGATTGATGTGGTTGATATGGCTAGTGTGATTGATGTGGTTGATATGGCTAGTGTGATTGATGTGGTTGATGTGGTTGATATGGCTAATGTGATTGTTGTGGCTGATGTGGTTGATGTGGGTGATATGGCTAATGTGATTGATGTGGTTGATGTGGTTGATATGGCTAATGTGATTGATGTGGCTGATGTGGTTGATGTGGTTGATATGGCTAGTGTGATTGATGTGGTTGATGTGGTTAATGTGGTTGATGTGGTTGATATGGCTAATGTGATTGTTGTGGCTGATGTGGTTGATGTGGCTAATGTGATTGTTGTGGCTGATGTGGTTGATGTGGTTGATGTGGTTGATGTGGTTGATATGGCTAATGTGATTGTTGTGGTTGATATGGCTAGTGTGATTGATGTGGTTGATATGGCTAGTGTGATTGATGTGGTTGATGTGGTTGATATGGCTAATGTGATTGATGTGGTTGATATGGCTAGTGTGATTGATGTGGTTGATATGGCTAGTGTGATTGATGTGGTTGATATGGCTAATGTGATTGTTGTGGCTGATGTGGTTGATGTGGTTGATATGGCTAATGTGATTGATGTGGTTGATGTGGTTGATATGGCTAATGTGATTGTTGTGGCTGATGTGGTTGATGTGTTGATATGGCTAATGTGATTGATGTGGCTGATGTGGTTGATATGGCTAGTGTGATTGATGTGGTTGATATGGCTAATGTGATTGTTGTGGCTGATGTGGTTGATGTGGTTGATATGGCTAATGTGATTGTTGTGGCTGATGTGGTTGATGTGGTTGATGTGGTTGATGTGGTTGATATGGCTAATGTGATTGATGTGGCTGATGTGGTTGATGTGGTTGATATGGCTAATGTGATTGTTGTGGCTGATGTGGTTGATATGGCTAGTGTGATTGATGTGGTTGATGTGGTTGATATGGCTAATGTGATTGTTGTGGCTGATGTGGTTGATGTGGTTGATATGGCTAATGTGATTGTTGTGGCTGATGTGGTTGATGTGGTTGATATGGCTAATGTGATTGTTGTGGCTGATGTGGTTGATGTGGTTGATATGGCTAATGTGATTGTTGTGGCTGATGTGGTTGATGTGGTTGATATGGCTAATGTGATTGATGTGGTTGATATGGCTAGTGTGATTGATGTGGTTGATATGGCTAGTGTGATTGATGTGGTTGATATGGCTAGTGTGATTGATGTGGTTGATATAGCTAGTGTGATTGATGTGGTTGATATGGCTAGTGTGATTGATGTGGTTGATATGGCTAGTGTGATTGATGTGGTTGATATGGCTAGTGTGATTGATGTGGTTGATATGGCTAGTGTGATTGATGTGGTTGATGTGGTTGATATGGCTAATGTGATTGTTGTGGCTGATGTGGTTGATGTGGGTGATATGGCTAATGTGATTGATGTGGTTGATGTGGTTGATATGGCTAATGTGATTGATGTGGCTGATGTGGTTGATGTGGTTGATATGGCTAGTGTGATTGATGTGGTTGATGTGGTTAATGTGGTTGATGTGGTTGATATGGCTAATGTGATTGTTGTGGCTGATGTGGTTGATGTGGCTAATGTGATTGTTGTGGCTGATGTGGTTGATGTGGTTGATGTGGTTGATGTGGTTGATATGGCTAATGTGATTGTTGTGGTTGATATGGCTAGTGTGATTGATGTGGTTGATATGGCTAGTGTGATTGATGTGGTTGATGTGGTTGATATGGCTAATGTGATTGATGTGGTTGATATGGCTAGTGTGATTGATGTGGTTGATATGGCTAGTGTGATTGATGTGGTTGATATGGCTAATGTGATTGTTGTGGCTGATGTGGTTGATGTGGTTGATATGGCTAATGTGATTGATGTGGTTGATGTGGTTGATATGGCTAATGTGATTGTTGTGGCTGATGTGGTTGATGTGGTTGATATGGCTAATGTGATTGATGTGGCTGATGTGGTTGATATGGCTAGTGTGATTGATGTGGTTGATATGGCTAATGTGATTGTTGTGGCTGATGTGGTTGATGTGGTTGATATGGCTAATGTGATTGTTGTGGCTGATGTGGTTGATGTGGTTGATGTGGTTGATGTGGTTGATATGGCTAATGTGATTGATGTGGCTGATGTGGTTGATGTGGTTGATATGGCTAATGTGATTGTTGTGGCTGATGTGGTTGATATGGCTAGTGTGATTGATGTGGTTGATGTGGTTGATATGGCTAATGTGATTGTTGTGGCTGATGTGGTTGATGTGGTTGATATGGCTAATGTGATTGTTGTGGCTGATGTGGTTGATGTGGTTGATATGGCTAATGTGATTGTTGTGGCTGATGTGGTTGATGTGGTTGATATGGCTAATGTGATTGTTGTGGCTGATGTGGTTGATGTGGTTGATATGGCTAATGTGATTGTTGTGGCTGATGTGGTTGATGTGGTTGATATGGCTAATGTGATTGATGTGGCTGATGTGGTTGATGTGGCTAATGTGATTGTTGTGGCTGATGTGGTTGATGTGGTTGATATGGTTAGTGTGATTGATGTGGTTGATGTGGTTGATATGGCTAATGTGATTGTTGTGGCTGATGTGGTTGATGTGGTTGATGTGGTTGATATGGCTAATGTGATTGATGTGGTTGATGTGGTTGATATGGCTAATGTGATTGTTGTGGCTGATGTGGTTAATGTGGTTGATATGGCTAATTGATTGTTGTGGCTGATGTGGTTGATGTGGTTGATATGGCTAGTGTGTTGATGTGGTTGATATGGCTAATGTGATTGTTGTGGCTGATGTGGTTGATGTGATTGATGTGGTTGATGTGGCTGATGTGATTGATGTAGTTGATGTTGTAGATGTGGCTGATGTGATTGATGTGGTTGATGTGGCTGTTGTGGTTGATGTGGTTGGTGTAGTTAATCAAGTTGGTGTAGCTTTTAGAATGTTAGTATTTCTTTCTTTTTTTTCCTTTGTCCATGGTATCCTGAGAATTTGTCTAAAGCATTTCAAAACCCCTAATTTCTGCAGAAAGAATACATAACTGAAATGTAAAGTGAATAGAAAACGTAACGATAAAGCTACTCCCACAGACACAGCCAGTGGCAGATGAAGTGTTGGGTCTTAACCCATTCTTGATCACTACATTATAGATTGTATGACAAATTCACCTATTTGGTAAATCTTTGTTTCGAAAAACACACGTTTTAACACCGATATTTCTTGGAAATATCACACTGTGTGGTAAAAGAAAACTGTTGTCACAAGATGTCGATGTAAAGGGAGGTGAGGTGATGTAAAGGGAGGTGAGGTGATGTAAAGGGAAGTGAAGTGAGCTAAAGGGTTTGTGAGTTGATGTAAAGGGAAGTGAAGTGAGCTAAAGGGTTTGTGAGGTGATGTAAAGGGAAGTGAAGTGAGCTAAAGGGAGGTGAGGTGATGTAAAGGGAAGTGAAGTGAGCTAAAGGGAGGTGAGGTGGTTGTAAACGGAGGTGAGGTGATGTAAAGGGAAGTGAAGTGAGCTAAAGGGAGGCGAGGTGGTTGTAAAGGGAGGTGAGGTGATGTAAAGGGAAGTGAAGTGAGCTAAAGGGTTTGTGAGTTGATGTAAAGGGAAGTGAAGTGAGCTAAAGGGTTTGTGAGGTGATGTAAAGGGAAGTGAAGTGAGCTAAAGGGAGGTGAGGTGATGTAAAGGGAAGTGAAGTGAGCTAAAGAGAGGTGAGGTGGTTGTAAACGGAGGTGAGGTGATGTAAAGGGAAGTGAAGTGAGCTAAAGGGAGGCGAGGTGGTTGTAAAGGGAGGTGAGGTTAAGGGAAGTGAAGTGAGCTAAAGGGAGATGAGGTGATGTAAAGGGTAGTGAAGTGAGCTAAAGGGAGGTGAGGTGATGTTAAGGGAAGTAAAGTGTGCTAAAGGGAAGTGAAGTGAGCTAAAGGGAGGTGAGATTGCCATTTTTCTGGCATTTATGAGTTTTGCTGACCTGAAGTCTTTGGGCAGTGGCCAGCATGCCCATATAGAAGGTTAGGTACTGGCTACAACAGCAAACTGTACAAACATAAAGGTTAGCACAATAAATTATATATTTAAAAAAAAAATTGCCAGATATTATTTACGTTGAGGGGGGGGGGGGGGGGGGAGGAGGAATCACCCTTTTGTAAATAGTGACATAATCTCGGTGTAATAAAAATCTCATTATTATATTTTCGTTCTTTTACTCCCCACTATAAAGAGGCCATGGATTTGACACGGGAAAATTCCAGCAGTGACAGTGTGCACAACATCGCAGCACATACCAAGCAACCTGGCGAGCTCTAGCGCAGTTATCTATCAGCAGTCAAACTGCAGTGCCAAGCGTCACAAAGCAGACTTCAGAGGTCCCGGGTAGTAAGCGTCCTTTGGATATTTTCTCCAGGTAATGCTGGTGTGCTGGGAAATGAGCATGCAGACAGATTGGCTGGTTCAGCACTACTTGATAGTGAACTGATGTATGTCAAGCTAGATGTTGTGAGGGTTCTTTGGAAGCCAGTGAACAGTGCAGAGGCACAAGTGGATCATCTTTGATGTGAATGGTGCTGCAAGGAGTTACCAGGGGATCTGACCGACGCTCAACACTCAAGGGAAAAGCGAGGCAGATAGTATCATCAGAAATGGAACTCTGCTTACTGCTGAAGATCGAGATAGAGCATTTATGGGAGTTGTGGGAGTGTCCCAAGTGAAACGATGCCGATTCCTAATTCAACATTCAAAGCAAACAATATCAAAAGAGAAGAAGCGAGCTTCTTACCTGCTTACAGCAGCCAGTTTTACATTTCATATTACATGGACTATTTTTGTCACAGTACGAACTTTTTTTGCAGCACTGTCGAATGAAGGGACTCTTTTGCCTCTCTAATGAAATGCTGTACATCAGTTTGGCCTTTTTATCCAGCAGTTTGTTTAGTTTCTCTTGAAATCTGGCCTGCCGACAATTAAAGAAGGGGTGGTTTAAAGTAAAACAAAAAATTTGTTAACTGTTTGCTTGATCCCATCACTTTTTTTTTTTCAACCTTAAAAGAGCAGTTGGCACACTCAAGTTGAGGTTTACAGCTAGGTTGTGGCTTTCGACTCAATGAATTTAATTTTAGCAAAGCTTTAATTCATCATCATCATGTAGCAGGTCCTTTGCTGAATGTCGCTCTCATCACAGTCTGCCTGAAAGAAACTCGGTCTCTCGCCAGCTCTCCCGCCTCATATACTTTCATACTCAAGGATTCACTTATATCCTATACCCATCTTTGTGTTGGTCGGCTTCTGCCCCTCCTTCCTGGTACCATGCCTTCTGCTATAATTTTTCCCAATCCATCGTGGCGCTTGATATGACCAAACTATTTCAGCTTTCGAGACAGGATGCTGTTTATCAGCCAATCTTCCTTGATGTTTAGACCTTTCGAGATGTCAGTATTTCTCTAATTAGTCGCCTTTTATGACATAACAGTAAGAAGGTGTAGTGGTTCTGTTCTACCTCATGAACTGAACAATGAATGACAAAACTAAGCTCAAGACTTTCACAGTGTAATATCATGGAAAGATGTAAAACCGAACAAAAAGTATGCCAGCGAGCTTCACATTATAACAAACATAAACAAAACGTAAACGTTGCGGCTATAGGGCCTTCTTCAGCACATACATAGATTAGACAATACTACACAAATACACAATATCACGTATCTTCGTATCTCGTGGCAGCCAGGTCGATGTCAAGACAATTGTCAATTTCACAGTGTAATGCAAATGGCTTGATCCCATTGCTGCAGAGACTCACTCACATAGGCAACACGGCAATGAAGAAAAAAAAAGATAATTCTCAAATGCTAAAGAAATCCCATCTTTATAGAAGTGAATTATGGACCGTAGGAAATTCTTCTTTTTCTTCTTGGTAAAATCTATGCCATGCGGCAGAGGTAGTCATATCTTAGATAAATAGTGAACAATGATTTGGAAGCTGCAGATATGTGATGTTGTAGATGAATGATGAGAATACCCTTGACAAATAAAGAGAATAACAAAGACGTCTTGAAAGAAACTGACACAGAGAACTGACTGCCCACATCAGAAGGATACAATCTACAATCTTTGGTCATATGATGAGAAGGAGACAATCTACAATCTTTGGTCATGTGATGAGAAGGATAGAACTGAAGTATATCGCGATGGTGGGACAGTTGGAGGGGAAAAGAGGCAAAGGGAGATCGAGGGAGAAGATGCTGGTCAGTTTGACAATATGGCATGGACGATCATCTGTCAGAAGTGACTCAAAGACCATGAGACAGAAGTATATGGTTAGGCATCACTATCAATGTCACATGGCATGAACGATCATCTGTCAGAAGTGACTCAAAGACCATGAGACAAAAGTCTATAGTTAGGCATCACTATCAATGTCACATGGCATGAACGATCATCTGTCAGAAGTGACTCAAAGACCATGAGACAGAAGTCTATGGTTAGGCATCACTATCAATGCCACATGGCATGAACGATCATCTGTCAGAAGTGACTCAAAGACCATGAGACAGAAGTCTATAGTTAGGCATCACTATCAATACCACATGGCATGGACGATCATCTGTCAGAAGTGACTCAAAGACCATGAGACAAAAGTCTATGGTTAGGCATCACTATCAATGTCACATGGCATGAACGATCATCTGTCAGAAGTGACTCAAAGACCATGAGACATAAGTCTATGGTTAGGCATCACTATCAATGCCTCATGGCATGGACGATCTATCTGTCAGAAGTGACTCAAAGACCATGAGACAGAAGTCTATGGTTAGGCATCACTATCAATGTCACATGGCATGGATGATCATCTGTCAGAAGTGACTCAAAGACCATGAGACAAAAGTCTATAGTTAGGCATCACTATCAATGCCACATGGCATGGACGATCATCTGTCAGAAGTGACTCAAAGACCATGAGACATAAGTCTATGGTTAGGCATCACTATCAATGCCACATGGCTTGGACGATCATCTGTCAGAAGTGACTCAAAAACCATGAGACAGAAGTCTATGGTTAGGCATCACTATCAATGTCACATGGCATGGACGATCATCTGTCAGAAGTGACTCAAAGACCATGAGACAGAAGTCTATGGTTAGGCATCACTATCAATGTCACATGGCATGGACGATCATCTGTCAGAAGTGACTCAAAGACCATGAGACAAAAGTCTATGGTTAGGCATCACTATCAATGTCACATGGCATGGACGATCATCTGTCAGAAGTGACTCAAAGACCATGAGACAGAAGTCAATGGTTAGGCATCACTATCAATGCCTCATGACATGCACAAGAAGAAACAGCATCAAGACTGACCTGGATTTTTAGCTGGTTCCTCTCAACATAGAGTTCCTTAGCAATATGGGAAGGGTCAGCTTTGTTGTTCCTCAGCCACTGGATGTATGCTTGGTGGTCGAGCAGCTGTTGCTCTAGGACTTTCAGCTTCAATCTGGAAGATACAGCTTCAGTCTATGAAACAGCTTTAATCTTTGAGGTACAGCGTTAGTTTATGAAATATATATGAAATACAGCCTCAGTCTGTGAGATACAGCTTCAGTCTATGAGAAAATATTGAGGTTAAGACAGCAGCAGGTAAGGTAGAGTTGTATGGAGTACAGTGAGGTAGAGTTGTGGGGAGTACAGTGAGGTAGAGTTGTGTGGAGGACAGTGAGGTAGAGTTGTGTGGAGGACAGTGAGGTAGAGTTGTGTGGAGTACAGTGAGGTAGAGTTGTGTGGAGGACAGTGAGGTAGAGTTGTGTGGAGTACAGTAAGGTAGAGTTGTGGGGAGTACAGTGAGGTAGAGTTGTGGGGAGTACAGTGAGGTAGAGTTGTGGGGAGTACAGTGAGGTAGAGTTGTGTGGAGTACAGTGAGGTAGAGTTGTGGGGAGTACAGTGAGGTAGAGTTGTGGGGAGTACAGTGAGGTAGAGCTGTGGGGAGTACAGTGAGGTAGAGTTGTGTGGAGTACAGTGAGGTAGAGTTGTGTGGAGTACAGTAAGGTAGAGTTGTGTGGAGTACAGTGAGTTAGAGTTGTGTGGAGTACAGTGAGGTAGAGTTGTGTGGAGCACAGTGAGGTAGAGTTGTGTGGAGCACAGTGAGGTAGAGTTGTGTGGAGCAGTGAGGTAAAGTTGTGGGGAGCACAGTGAGGTAAAGTTGTGGGGAGCACAGTGAGGTAGAGTTGTGTGGAGCACAGTGAGGTAGAGTTGTGGGGAGTAAAGTGATACACACATACAGCAGTAACCGAGACAGAGGTCGATCATGCAGATAATGGACAACAGAAATATCTTAGACAATGACAAAACTATACATGAAGCAAACAGAAGGAGTGGTCATAGAGATCTCTTTCTGTTTTGACACTGCAAGGCATTCCAGGAGTAGAGAAAACAAGTTGTAGTTTCGTCGCCCAGCTTCTGAGTTGAGTACATGGCGTGACACTGTGAGCTGCGTTTGTTTTTCGTTGGCACAGGAGCGGAGCAACTGTGGGGTGACCCGTTTGCTATGAAGCTGAAACTAGGATTACCGGATTACCAGATTATCAGAGAAAACAAGCTGTCGCTACTGCTACTGTTGTTATCTAAAAAAGTAAGTAAAGTAAAGAGCTAGACTTATACTTTATAGATCAATCGGCATGAGATGGGTGATGTGGTCAGCATCACGCCGGCCGCCTTTACTTCCTGGGACTGCACCCGGTACCCACACAAGGCTGGGTCTACCTGGAAACCAAGGTCATTTTTGAAAAAAAAAAAACATTTTGCTCCGCCAGGGAGCGAACCCACAACCATCCGATCTGCAGGCGAGCGTCTAGTCGTTCTGCCACAGCAACTCACGCTGATTTATCCAGGGAAGTATATTTGAGGAAATGTAAAGGAAGTAAAAGAGTCTGACATTACAATGACCCCATCGTCCATTTCAGTGAAGAAACATGTCTGATCCTTGTCATGGCAACAACAACAAAAAGTCACAGAATCTCATGTTCTTCAATGTGGAAGATTCTTTTCACCCTAAGCTACTCTTGTCAGTCACACTCACCATCACCACTGACTGAGTCTCAAGCCTCCCTATAACACAACAGAATGTTATTGTCTGGAAGGACAGGAGAATGGCAAAAGTATGGTAAAATACAATATTACAAGGCTTGAAGGGAGGAGCAGTATGCCACGGTACACAGTAGCAGCGCTTTTTTGTGGGCATAATTTGTTTCATTGTTGCTGTAACAGATGAGAAGATGGAGATGGCATTGCACTGGACTCATCCTGAGAAGAAACCAGCAGAGAATCACCAAAAAGGCATTCTTCTTCATCTTTACGTCCTCTTCTATCGCTTCGGGTGTCGAGGGAGATATAAGGTTCTGCTTGGTGCTATTCTGGCTGCTTCGACCATAGATCCATCGTGATGCTGTAGAGTTTCTCTGATGTTATCTTCCCATCTTGCTCTTGGTCTACCTCTTGTTCTACATCCATATTCTCTTTTGGTATATGCATTCTATGGTATAGCATCAGAAGACATTCTCTCCTAGTAGGCAAACTATTTTATTTGCTGTCTTTGTAAGTAATTTAGAATTGGTTCTGTGCCGACTTTATCTCGTATGACCTCATTCGTGATTTTATCTCTTCTGGTCACTCCTACAGCCTTTCTCAGACACCTCATTTCCATGGTTACTAATTTCTTTTCATGTTTTGTTGTGAGTGACCACGTCTGGCACAGGTAGCATAGGGTGGGAATGATTAGCCGTTAAAATGGGAAATAAAGGGATTAAGGAGACAAGAACGCCCAAAAGAAACCTTAAGATGAACATTGATGAAAGAGGCCAACAGTGCTGGACTAAATTCCATCCATGACACTGAACTGATTATACAGGATAGAACAGTATGAAGGAATAGACTGTGAGCCCTTTTAGATATAAAATGTCACAATAGGATAATGAATAAATGAATGTAAACACACTTTCTGGTAATTTACCAGCACCTATTTTAGACACTTTGTGGTGGCTTCGAGCAGCTTTTTTTTTTTAATGGAAAAAAGCTCCGATTATAGTTGTTGCTCCCCTTTAGGACAAACACGTTACCTAAAGCTGCTCTCGGTTTCAAGAAGCCTCTGATACTGCATGTCACTTTTCAGCTTTTCTATTGGTTCTTGATCATCTTGATGTTCTTCTTCGGGCTTTCTTGCATGTTGATGTTCTTCTTCTGGCTTCCTGGTTTGTTGACGTTCTTCTGGCTTCCTGGAATGAGGATTTTCTGGTTCTGGATTCCTAATGGTCTGCTCCGAGTTCTCCTCTGTCTTCAATTTCAGTCTCGATGACTTAAATGGGTACTTTTCTTCTGAATATGATTCTTGGGAGTGGCTGCTTTCACTTTCTTTCCTTTCCAGGACAAAACATTCTGTAGCGGTTGAAAAATAATTAGACAGTACATACAAATCTATATTAATAAAAATGTTAATTTTCTGAGTTTGTTAACTATTAACTCGAAAACTACTGAACCGATTGCTTTCAAATTTTCACACAACGTTGCCTTTGACCCAAAGCGTGATTTTTTATCAGAAAATCGCACAAACCACGAATGACGTAGCTACAGCAACGGTCAAATCATTATTTGTTTCGTTGCTGGCCCAAATTTGTTTTTAGTTGATTGGCAATTTTTGACTGCTGAGCTCTTTTTTTTTTATTTTTGCATTACTATATAATTTCATTTCCACTATATGCTTGAGTGTTTGGTAGTGTAGTTGTAACTATTTTGCCTATCATGCGGATGAACCGCGTTCATGCTAGGTGATATAATAATTTTTTAGCCCTTAACTGGGCGACTGGCACATTGTGTTGTGGTTTAAGGCTAGGCTGCGATATCTATGCCTTTTTTCGGTTTTGGGGTTTACAGCTAGCCTGCGACAGCGGCGACGTGATACTCAATGGTCATGTCACGGGTAATCTTCCTTCGCTCTCGAGAGGGCCGTTGGCTCGTTGTGTTGTGGTTTAAAGTTAATCTGCGAAATCAGACCTAAACTCTTCAGTGTTCGGTAGTATAGTTCTAAGTATTCTACCCTTCCCGCGGATGACCGGTGTAACACTGTGTGAAAATTTAAAAGCAATCGGTTCAGTAGTTTCCGGAAAATTAACATTTTAATTAATATAGATTTCGCAGGTGATGATTTTTTAATATTTTGGAGAGGGAGATATGATTTGGGGGGAGGGGTGGGGGTGGGGGAAGGGGGTTATGCCAGACACAGCTGAGAGAGTTTGAAATATTATTTTAAAGTTCTCATTTCCTAACTATTTCTATTTTAATAATTTCGCCATGGATTATTTTTCAGTCCTTCGGAGAGGGAGATATGACTTCGCCAGGTGATGATTTTTCAATCCTTCAGACAGGGAGATATGGTTGGGGGAGCGGGTGGGAGGTTTTATGCCAGACACAGTTAGCTGAGAGAGCTTAAAATATTATTTTAATGTTTTCATTTCTTAACTATTTCTATTTTAATAATTTCGCCTGGTGATGATTTTTCAATCCTACGGAGAGGGAGATATGACTGGTTCAATGGGAGAGGGGAGGGGGGGGGGATATGACAGACACTGTTAGCTGAGAGCTTTTTTCTTTCCTCTCCATTCCACTATTCTGGGCCACAGCAACGCGTGGCCGGGTACAGCTAGTAGACCTTAAAAATATATGTGCACAGTTTATTTATACAACATAAAAAATACAAAAGATTTGTATACAGTACTGATAAATACAGAACTTAAAATGCATATTTATTAAAAATTTTTAATTAAGAATGTGGGGGTTGCGTGGTCTCGAGGCATGGTGTCTGCCTCGAGTGCCAGAGGTCCCGGGTTCAAGCCCCGGTGAAGGCTTGTATTTTTTCACGTGGAATTTTGGTAATTTTCCCTGGTCTCTGAGCAGTAAGAATGAATTCCCATGTGGACTGCTGAATCTAAAGCTACCTGGGCAAAATTTGGAGTTTTAAATCTACCCAAAGTATTTCAGGATCCTCATTAGAGTTCGTGGACTGCGCTGAGATTTTTCAGACACAGGCTTGAGTTAGAATAAGAACAGAGCACTTAGGGGTTACACCCGTGTGCCATGATGTTGATCCACTGAATAAACATAATTAAGAATGTGCCTCCCCCTCCCCCCTTTCAGCACCCTCCCTCAAGCAACGTATACAGGGGCACAACAAAATGATTAGGTAACCAGTTGTCTTTTTACTTTCTTTTTCCTTTCTTTCATTTGTCGTGACTCCAAACGCGGTTACATATACCAAAGTTACAGGGCATACTGATTGATACACTAATAGCATTCTACTTACAGGACATATGATTTCATCAGTCACTCACCCATGCTGGTGATACGTAAATCAGTAATTCACCTGTGTTGGTCATACATACATCAGTCATTCCATCAGTCACTCACATTTGCTGGTCACACATATATCAATCATTAACCTCTGTTGGTCATACATACATCAGTCATTCTATCAGTCACTTACATTTGCTGGTCATATATACATCAGTCATTCCATCAGTCACTTACATTTGCTGGTCATAAATACATCAGTCATTCTATCAGTCACTCATTTGTGTTCGTCATTCATACAGTATTCCTTCTACCACTCATATGTGTTGGTGTTTCATACATTATTCATTCTAATAAATAAACAGAGAGGGGAACCATTTGAGGCCGTTAAATATTATGAATTAATTGAGTAACAGAAAGTATTGTGAACGGCACTCATAGAAAGAAGTAGAAAGATAGAAGAACACACTAGACAACATAAAAATCGAAAGCTATAGTTACTGTGCCGGGAATTGAACCTGTCACCTCCAGACGGCGTCTGCGCCTCGCCATGAATACAAGTGCACTAAGATAAGGTCTACTGTGTACGTAAATTGTTGCTGTGATTGTTATTTGACATTTGCCTCGTTAATATAAATTTCTGTAACCTATGGTGCCATTTCAATGGGTTGAAATGAATTCTGTCCGTATTCCATAGTCGTGGATTTCAAGCTGTACGATAGACATGGCCAATGAGACACCTTTTTTTGGGGGTGCCGAGTTGACCATGTATTTTAGTGCACTTGTATTCATGGCGAGGCGCAGACGCCGTCTGGAGGTGACAGGTTCAATTCCCGGCACGGTAACTATAGCTTTCGATTTTTATGTTGTCTAGTGTGTTCTTCTATCTTTCTACTTCTTTCTATGAGTGCCGTTCACAATACTTTCTGTTACTCATTATTCATTCTAACACTCTCCTGCGTTGGTCATTCATACATTATTCCTTCTACCACTTACCTGTGTTGGTCATTCATGCATTATTCCTTCTACCACTTACCTGTGTTGGTCATTCATGCATTATTCCTTCTACCACTCTCCTGTGTTGGTCATTCATGCATTATTCCTTCTACCACTCTCCTGTGTTGGTCATTCATGCATTATTCCTTCTACCACTTACCTGTGTTGGTCATTCATGCATTATTCCTTCTACCACTTACCTGTGTTGGTCATTCATGCATTATTCCATCTACCACTTACCTGTGTTGGTTTTTCATGCATTATTCCTTCTACCACTCTCCTGTGTTGGTCATTCATGCATTATTCCTTCTACCACTCTCCTGTGTTGGTCATTCATGCATTATTCTATTAGCCACTCACCTGTGTTGGTCATTCATACATTATTCTATTAGCCACTCACCTGTGTTGGTCATTCATGCATTATTCTATTAGCCACTCACCTGTGTTGGTCATTCATACATTATTCTATTAGCCACTCTCCTGTGTTGGTCATTCATGCATTATTCTATTAGCCACTCACCTGTGTTGGTCATTCATACATTATTCTATTAGCCACTCTCCTGTGTTGGTCATTCATACATTATTCTATTAGCCACTCTCCTGTGTTGGTCATTCATACATTATTCTATTAGCCACTCTCCTGTGTTGGTCATTCATGCATTATTCTATTAGCCACTCACCTGTGTTGGTCATTCATGCATTATTCTATTAGCCACTCTCCTGTGTTGGTCATTCATACATTTTTCTATAAGCCATTCTCCTGTGTTGGTCATTCATACATTATTCTATTAGCCATTCTCCTGTGTTGGTTATTCATACATTATTCTATTAGCCACTCTCCTGTGTTGGTCAGACCTACAGGATTCCACCTACTACTCACCTGTGTTCGTCGCATCTACATGTGTCCTTCTAATACTCACCTGTGATGGTCACATGTATATTTTCCTATCTACTACTCACCTGGGTTGGTCACACACACACCATTATTATCACTGGCACTAAAAAACTCTTCTGATATGTCCATACTTCCTTCAGAAGTGGTGAAACCTGCTGGCCTGCAATTCAAGTCAACAAAACACAAATCTTGATTCTTAACAATAAACATCATGTAACTTTCTAAGTACTTTTATTTACTGTAATGCCTGGCTCGCTAGCGTAGTTGGCTAAACCGGACTGCGCGGTGACCGGGTGACAAATCCTTGTGGTCCAGGTTCACACCCGGGAATAGGCAGAAAATCCACATTTCTAACAGATTTACGGTATTTATCATGGAATCAAGGCCGAAGGGTTACAATATCCATAATACCAAGCCTAAGGGTTAACAACTCATGGCTTATGGATACTTAAAAACAAAAAATTTACT